GGGGGGAGATGGCATTTGAGGTGGAGGGACTGTTTCTGCCCACTTGCCGTGCCATGCTTTGGTGGAGAAGAGCAAATCTGAGCTGGTAGTGCTTCCCTGGGGCCCTGACCCCTGTTTTCCTCTGTCCGGGTCCATTTTGTGAAGGGATGTATGTTTAGCGGTTTTCTTCCCAGGCAGAACAATACAGTCACCAGGGTGGTGGGGGATGGAGTGTGGGGTGTGGTTTAAAACCACCAAAGCCCAGGCCCCACTATCAAAGAGGGATTCCATCTGTGCAGATGGAGCCTGGGCATTGATATATTTTTAGGGCGCCCCAGGTGAATCTCAGGGACAGTCAGGAAGAGAAACCCCGGGACATCTCTTTCTGCCTTGCCCTTAGCACTCTGTGCTGCCTGTACTGCTTTAGAACCTGTGATGGTCTCCCTGATGTGCACTCCATCTCCCAGGGAAGGGAGAGAGCCCTGTTTGTCTCCGTGTCCCTTTGCTCAGCCTAATGCCTGGCACCAAAGCCTCAGTCAGTGCGCGTTGAGTTGTTAATGAGAGCCAGTCAGAGAACATCCTGGTTTCCCCTTCTCTTTCTCTCTCTTTCAAAACATGGATGGCGCATGTTCTCAAAAACAGGATCTTTGATTTTTATATCTCCAGTGTGGGGTGAGGAGTAGGGTGCTGAACCCCTGCAGAATGTCAGGGTCACTGGAGAGTCTCTATAGCTGGAAATAGAGCAGGGGACAATGGGAGGGGTCCTTTGTGGGGGCAGGTATGGAGCTGTACTCTCTTATTTTCTCTCTGTCTCTCTGTCTCTCTCATACTTGGATGTAATCGTGAATGGAGGTGGTAAATCTCTAAACACAGGGGTAGGGCCTGACGTGCAAGGGCTGAAGGAACAAATGTTGTCTCTGTGTATTTCTACCCGATGTACGCGCAGGTCCCTCCCTCATCCCGCAGGGAAAGCTTGGGTAATGGAAACCTGCGGAGATAAGGAAGACCCTTCCCTCAGCCCACAGCCTCTCTCCTTATGGACACCCCACTGTGGGTTCTTCCTCTCAGTGAAGTGAGGGAATGGAAGAGAAAGTAGAAGTCTCTGAGCCTGCTCCCCACACTGAGAACCCCTCCCAGAGAGGAGAGAATGGAGTATGGGTGCATTGGTAGGAGTCTGGGTACAAACTCCCTTTCATCTCCTGCTGAAATGCTGCGCCTTGATTTCCTGCCAGCCCCGCCACGGGCCCATGGACCCACATCTTCTGCGGCCCCATTGAAGACTGGGTGGCATTGATGCTGCGGTCCACACTGGGAAGCTCGGGTTTCCCTTGCCCCACAGCCTGAACCACATCAAAGGTGCACCTGCAGTGGGGGCAGGGAGCCCCCCCCCCAGCCCTGGGCAGCTGCAGGCCCTCCCCCTCCAGCTGGAGGCTCTGCCCCCTGCCACTGCCCCTGAACCCAGGGCCCAGGGGAGACCCCTGTCCAGTAGGTCTACATCCTACCCGCCACTTGGACACCTCTCTCATCCTATCTCCAAACAGACCCTTCTCCACAGACCTGCGCTCAGCTTGGCTGCTCGCTGGATTGCCTCTGCTTTGTCTCTTGTAAGTCAGGTTTCAAACGTGCAGTCTCTGCCTTCGACATCTATGCAGTCCCTTCCCCCGTTCCCACCTTAGTCTTTTATTGCCATTGTCACTTTCCCTGGGTGACTTTCTCAGGTGGGCTTCTAGTGATTCAGTCCGGTGGCCATTTGTGGGTGCTCGTTCCCTGGGGATCCCCCACCTTTAACACTCTCAACAACCTCTTTTCAAAATCCTGCCCTTCCCAGGCTTCTTTCTGGCCTGCCTGCACACCTCCTCCTTCTGCTCTGCTAACAGCTCTCCTCTCCTCCCATTCTGATCCCACCTGCCCATTAGGGCCAGGACTAGCCCACCTGATGCAAGTGGCCCCTTCTCCTGGGCCCTGAGAGGTGGAGCATCTCAAATAATCCTGTCACAAATACCTACTGTGTGCTCACAGGTGCACATTGCCCTTCTAATGCTTGCGAGCCAGAGCTCTGAACAGAAGCCCTGTCCCTATGGACTTTATATTCTAATCGAGAGGGACAGAAAAAACACAGTAAATCATGTAGTGTGTGAGAAGATGATAATAAAAGTAAAAAATGTGATAGGGTGTGGTCTTAACTATTAGCAGGACAACAATTTGAATATATCCCTAAACAATACATGCATTCCCATGTATCCCTTACTTTGCTTCAACAATTATCAGTATTTTTTGCCCATCTTGTTTTATCCATTCCATCCCCCACCAAACTTTTATTTATCCTAGCATATTTAAAAATTTTTAATGTCTTTTAAATCTATTTTTGAGAGAGAGAGAGACAGAGAGAGAGAACGAGTGGGGGAAGGGCAGAAGGAGAGGGAGACACAGAATCCAAAGCAGGCTCCAGGCTCTGAGCTGTCAGCACAGAGCCCAGCCCGGGGATCGAACTCGTGAACTGTGAGATCATGACCGGAGCTGAAGTCGGACGCTTAACCAACTGAGCCACCCAGGCGCCGCTATCCTAGCATATTTTTAAATAAATCCCAGGTATCATGAAATTTTATCTATAGATACTTCAGTGTCCAGCTCAACTGGTTAAGATGTATTTACATTGTACATACACACTGTGCCATTGTCACGCCTAACAAAACCAGCAGTAATTCTTCTGGGACTGTTTAACTCTGCCATGTCTGACAGTCTTGCCTCGCCAGGTGTCGGAATCCCCGTGAGGGCAAGGACCATGGTGTTCAAGCATCCAAAGCTTGGAAACAAGGCAAAAGTATGATTGCACGTCCGGGCAACCTCGTACTGTAGCCTAACAGGTCCACCCAAAGGTTATTTAATTCTCTATGGGGATGTACTTTTGCTTGACTTTCAGTGTATTATTGATTGGGAGGCAGGCTTTACGAAGCTAAATGTTACCATATAGGTTGATAAGATAACCCAGATCTTTACCCTTTACAAACAATTCTGTTCAGTAGAAGAGATAACTCCAAAATTATGGGTTTTTTTTTTTGCCCTGTAGGACATTAACCAGTTTTGTTTCTGCTTCACAAACTCCTTTCTGCATGCCTTTCCTGACTTACTAACAAACCCCTGTTCTCAAATTCTCTCTGGAGCTAACTTTACCATCCCTCACTAATGAGTTAAGTTTAAATTACATTTATATGAGAGCATTTGGAAAACCACACTTTGAGAGTGGCTTATCCATTTTCTTCCTCTTTCCTTAGTCTAGTCTGCTGCTCGGTGTGGACTAGATGGTTGTGGAATGGGATTTATGCTTGACTCGGTATCCTATTATAATGGGAAGAATCAAGGTTTCAAGTTGAGAAGTGCATAGCAGATGTGACAGAGCTCTGGAGTGAGGGTGGCCTGGCTAAAGCAGGCCCCTCGGCCCTGGCTCCCTGTGCTCTACCCTGGAGAGCAAGAGGAGGGTCAGGTTCTGTGGATGTGGAGCTATCTGGAGAGCCCTGGGCCACCCTCTGCTCCTGGGAGCAAGGCTCTGTCCGACTCTAACACTGAGTGGGGAGGATGGAAGGGGGTGAGAACAGGACGCGCGTGTGTGTGTAAGTGTGCAAGTATGTGTGGCAGGGATGTGCCCAGGAGGGCATTCTGGTTTGCCAGTTTGCCCCACATGCTCAGAGAGCAAGGATAACATTGTGGGAGTGTTCTTTTATGTCCCCAAATTACCACCTTCTGATTCCTCATGCTTTTCTGGGTTGGGAAGGGCTTCTCCTTTACAGCTTATCCCAATTGTTCCATTACAATTGAGGCTTGGGGATGCAAAGGGAGGCAAGAATATTGACAATGTGGTAGAGATTGTAGTGGGAGGGATTGTGTGTGCTGAAAAGCAGCTGTGCTTTTTATCTTCTAAGGGGTTGTGTTTCTGTTCCAAGAAAGGGGGTGGTGGTGGTAGGGTATATGTGTGGAGCAGAGCTGATGGGGTGGTGGTAAGAATTGTCCTGTGGGTTTCCAGGACTGGAGCTGCTCAGTGTGCAGAAACGATTCCTCCCTTTACTTAAATTATCCAATTGCCGTCCTGGCTCCCTCAGCCTCTGGATCGCCTCTTCCTCCAGAAAAACAAAGCAACATGGAGTTAAGGCAAGACTTTGTCCTCCAGGTACCCACCCCAAGCTTCCAGGCCCCCCAGTTCCCAATCTCAGTGCTCTGTGGTACCAGCCAAGGCAAGCAAGCACTGTGGAGGGTTATTAACAAAAGGGGATTTTCCGTTCGCTTGAAAGGTTGGGTGTGTTTGACATTTTATTTCAATTAGCATGGAAAAGCTCTAATAACATCTTTTTCTATTCCTATTTGGAACTAGGGTAACTTTTAAAAGCAACCTGTCTAATCAATGATGGGGGAGCACCATTTGGGGGACATCGTTGGTCCTGGAGACTGGAGGGTGATAGGAAAGAGGGGGCATTTCTTCTTCTCTCCCTGACTTCCTTCATTTTCACTGTCCTGGCTTGTCAGGCGCTCCCATCCTCCTCTATTGCCCTCTTCTCATTCCGTTCATGTACCACCTCCAGCCATCCCTCAGGAGACATTTGCCAGCTCCAGACACTGGAGACACAAAGATGAATGAGACACTTTTCCCAGCTGGAGATGTTCTGAGCCCAGTGGACAGTGATCCTTCATGAGTGAACAGTGCTTTCTGGTTGACAGAGCCCATTCACATTTGTTGTGTGTTTTAAGCCTCATGAGAGTTGGGGAGATGAACCAAGACAAGCATTATCCATCCCAGAAGAGGAAACTGAGGCTCAGAGAGGTTGTAGGCCACCTTCAAGGTCACACAGGTGGTGCTAGGTGGGGCCAGGACTGGAAGAGCCTTCGGGTAATGGTCAATCCCATAATCTCTGGCTGCACAGAGGCTGGTAACAAAACGTCACAGGAGTTGGGAAGTTGGAGGCAGAGTGTCAAAGAAGCTGAGGGCTGGCCTACAGGATATGGTGACTTTTGTCTGCAGTCACTTTTTTTTTTTTAATGTGTTGGTAAATTGTTATTTGTTGCTAAGTAATATTTCATTCTTTTTAAAAAATGTTTAAATTTTAGTTAACATACAGTGCAATATTGGTTTCAGGAGTAGAATTTAGTGATTCATCACTTACATACAACACCCAGTGCTCATCACAAGTGCCCTTCTTAATGCCCATCACCCGTCTAGCCCACCCACCTCCCCTCCAGCAACCCTCAGTCTGTTCTCTATAGTTAAGAGCTTCTTAGGTTTGCTTCCCTCTCTGCTCTTTTTCCCTCCTTCCCATATGGTCATGTTTTGTTACTTAAATTCCACATATGAGTGAAATTATATGGTACTTGTCTTTCTCTGATTGACTTATTTCGCTTAGCGTAATACATTCTAGCTCCATCCATGTCGTTGCAAATGGCAGGATTTCATTCTTTATTTTTTTAAGACAGAGAGAGAGAGCAGGGAGAGGGGCAGAGAAAGAGATAGAGAGAACCTTAAGCAGGCTTCACACTCAGAGCAGAGCCTGACATGGGGCTTGATCCCATAACCCTGGGCAACACCCCACTTTGTTTTAGAGAGAGAGAGAGAGAGAGAGAGAGAGAGAGAGAGAGAGAGAGACACGATTTTATTCTTTTTGATGGCTGAGTAATATTCCATTGTGTGTGTGTGTGTATATATGTGTACATACACATATGTACACTACATCTTCTTTATCCATTCATCAGTTGATTGACATTTGGGCTCTTTCCATAATTTGGCTATTGTTTATAATACTCCTATAACCATTGGGGTGCATGTACCCTTTCAAATCTGTATTTTTTGTATCCTTTGGGTAAATACCTAGTAGTGCAATTGCTGGATCGTAGGGTAGTTCTATTTTTAGTTTTTTGTCTGCAGTTATTTCTATCTGGCCTGGGACCCATGTCTCTCTGGCTGGAGTGTTAGAGGTCAGGACATTGTGCTCTCCCTTGCCTGGAAAAAGGTAAAGAGCACATATCACTTTCAGGCCAACCACCCTTTGGTGTCTGAGAGTCACATTCTGGTGACCACGGAGTCCTGAGTCCCTATTCCACCCCCACGCTCAGCCAGTTGCAATGACAGGGACTGGGGCTGGACATAACATGAATAAGGTCTTGAAGAGTGGGACAGGATGGAGTGGGGGGGGGGTCAGTTACAAAGGTAACCTGTGGAGTGGTGGTGTCATTTAATGGGAGACAAAGAATGTCATTCCTGGCTGGGGAGGGACCAGCTGTCAAGCTGTGGGGGCAAGGCCTGGTAGGGGAAGGCTGTGGGCAGGAAGGGGTGGAGGAGGGGAGCAGCTGGGCCTATGAGGTGGATTGGCTGTGGTTCTTGAGCAAGAGAGAGTTACCTGATGGTGATGTGTGTCGGGTAGTATTGGGGCCTTCCTGTTGGGTGGGGGGAGCTGAGCTGTAAGGGGTGAGTGCCCAGAGTGTTCACTGTTTCTGACGTTTCATGCTGGCCTTCCTGTTACAAGAAAGTACAAAAGAAGCGGCCTCTTAGAGTTCATGAGACCTGATTCTCTCGTCCATAGGGCTTTTGCTCTTTGCAGAGCATTCTGGATTCTCAGAGAGCTAGTGTGAGGTTTGGTCTGGCTGATCATCAGATTTTTCTAGGGGAACTTTAAGGCCACACCCGTGAGACTCTGATTTGATAGATCTAGGCGGGGCCGAGAGTCTGAATATTTGTTGTAGAGGAGCAACACCATTATTCGAATACCTACTATTTGTTTGGCATTGGTAATCAGCCACCTAGTCAGGAGATGAGGGGCAATCAATTTCCATCAGCGCGAAGGAGTCTGGGAGGAGGCCAGCCGTGACATCTCGCCGCCTGCCGTGTACCCTGTTTACAATCTTAGAGTCTGAACACGAAAGCTCAGCTCTCCAGGGAAGCTGGGCTGGGTCATTCCAAATTTCAAAGTTTTCTAACCAGCTTAAGATTTGTCCTTTTAAGCAACAACACTTAAAAAAAATTGTCAGCCACTGTGTTTGTGATTCTGTGTAAAATGTATTACATGCGTCCCTGACTTTTTAAACAGTCACACAAGCATAAATGTAACCTTTTCTTGATGTCCCACGGGTATGTTAGGAACCTTAATTAATGTATTGAGCTATAATTCAGTGGGGCTTATGGGACGATTTGCTTATACCAAATGGCTCCCTGAGGTTTTGAGTGTTTGTGTCTGCTTTTTAGTTTTTCCAGCTGTACTTCTTGCTGACTGATGTCCCTTCTTGCTAGACATAATGTACCTGCCTAAAGCAAATGTCTCTTCACTTTCAATTTGCATTTATTA